GATCATGACATTTTTATTAAAGCCGATCGATTTTAGAAAGTCCAAGCTTGACTAAAACCAAATTTGGGAGGTTAAATGACCTCTGTCGATTGGTGACTACAATGTCTTGTGTTGTACTTACTCCACTTTAACTCTTAAGTCTAGTGCCAGTTATTTCTAAAGTACTTTCACAAAGAGCTCATTGTTGTAGGTCAAGGCTAGTTCTGAAGCGCCCTCAATAGGCACTTCAAAAACAGGACACTAGTTTTATGTCACAACGTTGTACCATAGTTGAACGACTCTCTGTTATTGATTCCCTCTAGTGATAGTACATGTTTATGAATGTATTTTATTATCCATAGATGCTACATCAATATGGAACTCATATTCCTCAACTAAAACATAAAATTTGTCATAATTCCTTAATTCAAATACTTATTACCTTTTTTTCTGTTGCCTTTGATCGTATTCTTTCAGTTGATTAACTAATAATAATAGTTGACATTTAAGCCTATTAAATACTGTTGCAGAGTGATCACAACGCGTAATGTACAATAAAAACAAACCTATAAAATATTTTTTCAGTTGTAGATATAAAAACTGTACTATTTGTGCAGTACTGTACAGTGTAGTTATGGTAACAACCATCATCATTTTCATAATTTTTACTAGAGTATAAAAACATGGTAGGGGAATGTGGGCTACCAGTGTAATAGTTCTCTTGATTGTGTGTACAGTAAGTAGGCCTACTCTTGTAAAATCAAAAACCATTAATTTTATTGCAGCTACTCTTGCAGGGGATGGAATGGGTCACAGGAAAAAAATAAGTATACTCTACTCCCTTGGAAATGATAAGGAAAAAATTTACTGCATGATATGATATAGTATAAATTATACACAAATGCTTTAATTTTTCCTCTTTTTGATTATTGTTGCTGTGTTTGGTCTAATTGTAATGTTAAAAATTACTTCTTACGACTTTCAAATGCTTAAATGGATATGCTCAATATTTGTCGCCAAAATTTACCTGTAATAATAATATTGCCCATTCTAAAGGCACACATACAGTAGTAACCATAACAACCTGGTTCTTCCAATGTATAATATCAGTCAGGGAAAAAGAACATTTTTATATCGACCATCCAAAATCTGGAATGAACTACCACACAAATTAAGAATTAATTTAGAAGAGATGTCAATTATTTCATTCCAAAATCATTAAAAATAATGTTTTAAAATTTTATTTTATATATTTATTTTTATTTATTAATTTATTTAAATGTTAGTTGCACTGTGTATGTTTCTCGTCACTGTACCACTTTGTCAAATCAGTAATATAGTACTGAAAGTGCCTACAGTATAAAGGAAAATGAAATAAAAATAAATAATACACTTCAACCACACAACAAAGAACCAGTACCTCCAAATAGTCACCCCTCAATTATTTCAGTCATCTCTTAAACTCTCTCCCATTTGATATCAGAAATGTTCTCTTGTTTTCGCTTAGTGGGTTTTCACAAGCTCTTAATAAACATTTTATTGAAAATACTGAAATAATCAAAAATTGTTTTTATATTATTAATAATATCGTGTACCTTAATGCTGTATAACAATGAATAAATAACTGCAATATATTGTATTTTCTTTGTTGATGTAATGAATTCTTTGTATATTATTATACTTTTTATACAACTTCTATTTTTATACAACTTTTAAAACTTAATTTATCGAAAAATTATTTTTAATGTACTGTAATGTTGCAATTTTTTATTTTATGATGCCAGTGGAGAACCCTTGATAGTGTTTTACTATTCGTTATCCATGGATAGCATTTTAAATATTATTTTTCTCCTAAAATTTTGTAATAAATAAATGGTATGTTTTCTTCATATTACTGCCACTTTTTGTTAATGTATTTGATGATTTATTAACTGTCTATGCGGTCACTATAGGAGCCTGCTATACTGTATTACACAAATGGATTCAACAGTAAGTGATGCGGCCTACTTATTGCTAATGCTTTATGTTGTTAACCTTTCTATCTTCATCTTCCTCCTCGTATATCTCTTGATTTCGTCATGGTTTTGTTGTCGTGAGCTATGTTTTGAATCCTATTGGGACGCGATGAAATCCTGGAGGATCCTGTAATGTATTTTTTAAATAATATTTAATTCATATTAATCAAAAAATTTAAAAGAAATAGTTTAATTATTATTTTGTCATTTTGAAAAAAAAAAAAAAAAAATGTTCAGTAGCTATACAGTAGGTACTGTGTAATATAAGTCTACACTTGTAGGGCATTGAAAGCAAAATCCATTTGTCAGCTCTTGGCTCATTTTATGGTTTTTTTGTGCCAACATTCATGTCTTTGTGTTTGTTTTCATTATTATTCTAAATGTACTGTATTAGGTGCCTCCAGACAATGCCGTTGCCAGCTATTGGGACAGTTGGGACAGTCCCATACATTTTTTTCTAATGGTCCACAAATGATGGCTCCACATTTTTAAAAATGGGTCCAAATTATGCAATTTTATGCATAAACGGTGTCCACTTCTTGAAAAATTGGTCCAAATTTCTCATATTTAGCCTAAAATGGTTTAAGAGTTTAGGAAAATGGGTCCAGATTTTTCATATTTTTGCGTAAAATGGATTAACTTTTGAGAAAATGGGTCCCCATTATTTGAATTTACATGTACAGTGGGTCCACCCTGATATTGTCCCGCACTGTTTGAAAATTCTGGCTATGATATTGCCTCCAGAAGTTGTAGGTTGTTGAGCTTTCCGAGAGAACCTGAATATTGGTTTCCTTGCTTGCCATTTAGGTACTGTAGGCATACTTTCTTCACAAGTGCTACAGGTACAGCATGTCCAGTACGTATACACATAACATATTCTCTGCACACTAAATCAAAATCAGAAAAAACTTTATTGTCTCCAACAGAAAAAATTGTTTTGCTCGAAAACCCTTGTTTGAGATGTTAATGAATAAATAATCATAATAATGCAACTAATGTATGATAATTTTTTCATACTAAGCATCATTTCGATTTATTTTACCAGGGTTTGTTTTTATAACCATAAATAGTTTTAGTAGGCACTTTACAACATGCAAAATCACAGATAATAAAAAAAAATCCCAAATAATTTTTGGGGTCCGTACTGTTGAAGGCCTTAGTTATAGGTGTATTTGTCCTATGTGGATATTACAACGGAAGGAAGTAAGGAAAAGAAAGGAAACAATGAACTAATTCAGATTAGGTAACTTGCTTCAGGAAACAGTTTATTGCTTAACTATATGTTAAGCACCTCATGTTGCAACATGAAGATATAGTGATACTGTAGAGAGATGCTATAGTCACATGATTCTTATATAAACATAGTAAGTCTATGAAATGTGTTCCACACAGTACAAGTAAGTGTACAACAACTGAGTGAAATTAATTACTATAATTTTGGGACAGTAACAACCATTTCATTTACATACATTCAGTAGATTCACCTAGCCAGGAGCCTGATTCTCCAAGAATAGATCTGATATAATTTAACAACATTTAACAACATGACATTTTCAGTGATAGATACAGCTATAGTAAGTTACTTCTGCTATGACAATTTTAACAATTATTGTTTTGCCTTTCCTTTACAGTACAATACATTTAATTCTTACGTTAGTAGTGAGAAAAACCATATAAACATTCCCGTTTCCTATCCTTTTACACTGATCGCACATTACAATGTTTTTCCAACAAAATGCCGCATTACTATTATTTCTAGTTGCAGCAGGTCACCAAAAATCAATCTGTTGCCAAATATTCAGCTGTGTTGTCATATGTCCACAATACATTTTCATTTGATTCTCTTCCTGAAGTTCAGTAAAAGTGCAGATTATTCTTTACAGTAATCGTACCATCAAATTTTAATTGACAATGTTCACTTTTAGTTCAGTCACAAAAATACTGTGTAGGAATTTTGAATTACAAAGAGAATTTGAGTATAATTATGTCATGCTATTTTTGTATTAAAAAATATATTTGACAGTATATAGGCAGATTACATCGTATATTTCTCTAATGGATGAAATCCCAAGAGTAACTTGTTATTATGTTGGAACTTTAGAAAAAGGATTTACCAATAGATAGAGGATAAAAAAATGCAAGCAAATGTATGCAGTAGACTAATAATGCATAGAATATCGACATACTTGGATGTTTGAAGTGTGTATGGTAAGCCACAAGGGAGAGGACTACTATAACTTTATCATTTCTGTATAAAATATGTCATTAATTTGTTGTATTTTTTAAAATATTTCTTTTTCAAATCATTCGTTATTGAGTAAAGTTCAGTAACACAAGTCTCACAGGATACACCCACCTTACAGGTAACTGTATAGCAGAGCCTAACCATCGTGTATTGAGAAAACAGACTTTAAAAGTTGATGAAGATGATGACAGAAGGCCATATCAAAGATTACCATTTAGTGAGCTGTGTGGATGTTTAATAATAGTAATAATATCTCAACTTCAATTTTTTTATTAACTATGGCAAATTCAATGCCCAAATACTGGCCTAACTATAATAAACTGTATAGATTTAATTGTTGTTCAATCTTGATTACAGAATATATATTTTTTATACTGTAGATTTCTCGATTGTATTAAAAATTGGTACCTATTCTGATTTGGGTTGGGGTAAAGAATGTGTATACTCAGAATCCGATATAAGTATAATTTTAAATGGAATCATTTTAGTATATATTTTAGTATAAATGCGCAGCCATGTTTTTAAACAGGCAGAGGACTAGGGCAAAGGTCTATTTACATTTCGAGTTTCCGAATGTACATGTATGGTAGTAGTTGAGTGTTTAGACCCTGTAACAAAGGTGTCTAGGAGTTCAAAACATCAAGGGAAATAGTCACCATCAGCCAATAGGATGTTGTGTTGCACAAGGTTAAATCAGATATAAAAGATATGAAAACCACACCAGAACATTTTTCGTTTATTATTACTTGCACAGGTAGTTACTTTTACTGAATGCCAGCCAGTTCATCTTTCTTGCAGACTGATAGCACATTAATAGGATTCACTTGTTTGTACCTAATTAAGGAGTTGTTAGACATGCCGTGTGGATCTCTTGACGTCATATGGTTGTCATGTCAGGTTGAATTTTTGGGCAGCAGCACAGATATGAAAGGTATTGCTGTAAACTTGAGTTGTATCCTCATTAAATCTTTCTAAGGAGTGGTAGGACAGACAGTGGTACTGGTACTTGTTATAAACAAATGGAATTTTAAATGCTCCTGGTATTATGTTCAGTATCATTGAGAGCTTATAACTGTATGTGGTTGCTGGTATTTTTAGAATCATATCACATCTTGGATCATTAATTAGAGCACTTTAATACATCTCCTTTTTTTTTGAGTCAGCGATGCTCCTGTTTCAGTGAATATTTGTATCTGATTTGGAATATACAAACTCGACATGTCGACAGTTTTCGATACGTTGATTAGCGAAGGCCTCTGCATGGCAACAAGTGCGATTGGCATTGGTAAGATTCATATTTTATACCATTTGATATCTGTCAACTTGATATTAAAAGATTTATAATTAATGATTAAAGTTATTAGTTCTTTTTAATCCAACAATTTTGATAAGCGAGACTTTTTTGCCTTTTTTAGCGAAACCCGCCACCCGCCAATAATAATAAATATTTATTTTTGGCCAATTAGCACACCTGCCGCCACGAAAAAAATGGAAGTTTCAGTAGAAAATGAAAGTTTTTCTTTATTTTTTCTCGCCCACTGCTGCCTTATATTATACTGTAATCTCTAAAAATAAAATAATGTATGTATATTTCTTCCTAATTTATATATAAATTTAAAGCATTTAACCATCCCATTACTACACTGTTTATATTCACCAGTAACATTTTATTTTTATATTCTTTTCCATCTGGATGTTTTTTGCAAAACTATTTGCTAAATAAGAAAAAAATATTGTATATTTTTTTTTTCCGGCCTCTGACGATCTTGAAAACAATAAGTTCACAAAACAAGGTATAAAAAAAAGTCTCGTCTAGCACCCTGGGATTGAACTGAAGTAGGTACTTCAACCATGCTTGATGGCTAAGCCGAAGAGATACTAAATTATATACTTTCATTTTCATACATCATACTAATATGAAGAAATAATAAATTAATAATAATAATAATAATAGTTAATAATAATAATTAATAATAATAATAATAAAATAATAATTAATATTATTTTTTAATAAGTAATAATAAAATGCCTGTTTATTATTATTATTATTATCGTCTTTATTGTAATGTCATATTTATCGGTAAAATACAGGTAGTTCAGTAGTTATTACAGAATAATTAATGATAATATTTGGAAGATTTTTTAATGCTGTCAGTAGTACTTTCAATTAAAGAATTGAAAAAGTCAAAATGATCTAGTTTCTACTGATTTCGATTTTATACTACAAAGATGCTACAGTACTAAAAATAATATATACCAGTAAACAAGATTTTATATTGTTAGTCCATTTCAAAGAAAGGCTCATGACACTTGAGGTAAAAGATTTTAACAGAAGAAACTATAGTTACACTACGATGTTGTCAAATTTACTAAACCTTAAAATTGATTATCCTTGAAATTAACAAAATAAACAAAGAAAATTGACTAGAGCAGGAGCCTGCATTTCCACTGTGTCGCTGGTACATAATTCACAGGATTTCTATAAATTATACAAATTTAATAGTACTATAGTATTTAGTAAAAAACATACTGTAAAGCATGGAACTTTTACCTGTTAACATAAGGAACTATATATTTTATGTTTACAAACAGTCAGTATTCCACTGTTCCTATTATTGAATTGTTCTTCATATTTATATATAGAAATAGGAAACATATTTTGCAGGGAAGAGTGCGGGACATTCCCATATTTAACAGGATCTCTAATTACCGTATAGACATTTATTAGCATAACAAATACAGTACTTCTATTAATAGTAAAAAACATGGATTTTTTTTTGTAATTTACCTGTTGACAAAGGAACTGTATTTCTACAGTATGTTTAATTTATTTATATCCCACTGTTTTCAGTATTAAATAGTACTATGTTCTGTGTTCTATTTTGTTAGGAATAGGAAGCAAATTTTAAAGGGAAGACTGCAGGAGATTCCCTGGGATTGAACTGTAGTAGGATCTCTAATTACCATATAAAAATGTAATAGCATAACAAATACATTACTTCTATTAATAGTAAAAAACATGGATTTTTTTTTGTAATTTACCTGTTGACATAAGGAACTGTATTTCTACAGTATGTTTCATTTATTTATATTCCACTGATTTCAGTATCAAATCGTACTATGTTTTGTGTTCCATTTTGTTAGGAATGGGGAGCAAATTTTAAAGGGAAGACTGCAGGAGATTCCCTATCCGAAGTACTACAAAATATTGTTGGCAATTGGCAATAATGTAGTAACAGTAATTCATACAGCTATGATGAGCTGTGAAATATTTGTTACAGATTGTTACACCCTAACACAAAGGAACAACCAGTGCCAAATACTGTATATCTCATTAACATTGTATACAATTGTTTCCAGAGAAATATTGTGACACGCTAATATTTTAGGATTGGTATTTACAGTATGTTGAGGTTAACTGACATTACAAAACAATTTCATGATGAGGATATAGAATTACATTCAAAATTGTCTATATCTGTATTTATTATGTACTTCTAATAATTGTATTGTATGGAACATGATATTGTATTTTGGCCAGAGGCCTTCTGAAAGTAGTAGGAACCTTAGTCTAGTGCCAAAGAAAAAAATAAGGAAGCAATACATTACTGATGCAGTATTTGACTAGCGTATCTTACCGAAAATACAAAATTCACAAAATATTCTACAATAAGTTAACAGTATATATTGAGATAAAAGATATTTTATTTATATTATTCCAAAGTTTTAGGAGTACAACCTTGAAAGAGCTATCACCCCCATGTGTGATTGTAGTTTGATAGTCATCAATGACTTGCCGCACAAAGTGGTTTGGAACAATACAAAGATCACTGAGATATTTTGAGCCAAAACCAGTTATTATCAAACATAATAAATTTAAATGAGAGAGCCATTGAATAATTAAAAAAAAAAAAATTTGAAGCCACCCAACATTAGGTACTGCATGCGATGTATTCCTATCAAGCAAATAAGGTCATATGAGGTAATTTTTATCTACTTGTGTGTGATTTATTTGCTTTGAACATATTCAATGGGGAGGGGGTACTAGTTTTTTTAGGAGGTTTTTTTTTTTAGGTATTGGCATGCCATGATATGTTTTTTTGTTACTGATGAAAAACAAACTTTACAGAATGCCCTTAGCATTCTCTTTTGGTTTCATTGTGGCAATTTATAATAGCATTGTTAATATTTAAATATTGAATACAGTATTAATAATAATTATAATACTGACATATCTACAAAGTCTTTTATCATGATTAAACTGCAAATGCTATCAACTGAAACAAAATTCCAATAAAAACCATGTAATGTTTTTGAGTAACAACACTTCGTAAAAATGTTTAAATATGATTTTTTTCATATCACATATCATTTTCTGGTAGTTATGAATATGATGTCCCACTGATAGTTCCAGACAAGAAAGAAACTGTCTGTAGTGCTAATCATAACAAGGTGTTTGACATATTTTTTCGTACTACCACCGGAAGTAGTCAGTAGACCAGAAAGAGTAGCCCACACAGTACAAGTACACAGTACTCTGCTCACTTTAGCTGAAAAGTCTATTACGTACCATATACCAGCGATCTGTGCCTGGACGCTCACGGCCAACTATCTCTTTAAGGCCAAATAAAAAAAAATAATAGTTTCTCGTCTTTTTGCCTCACCAAATTTTCTTTTTATTTAAATGTTTTTAATTTCCTTTATTTTACGAACTGTATAAAAATCTGGCTAACTCGCATCAGTAAAATTCCTCTCCCAATTGTTCGTGGTTGGGGATACATATGGTATGAATCATGTCTAGTGACTTCTTTTATTTGCTGTCTACTTGGTAAAGTGAGACAGTGGTACTATTTCCCATCGACCATCTTGGATTTGCCATAGAGTAAAGAAAAATAAGTACCCTCATTCTCCCTTTTTTCAAAATTTTAGGGTGAGAAACTACTTTTTTTTTATTTGGCCTAATCAGAATGAGGGAAACACACTAGACATCAAACATTTGTTTTTTAACCAAAAGTACTTGAACTTTGAGACGTCCTTGAGATAACTGGTTTTTGTGATATATTTTATTTTGGCAATGTTATTTATTTTAAATTTGATGAATTGATTCATTATCATTTTATTCACAACCACATCTATTATTCACAAAAGTTACCAACTGTAATTGGCCACTCTGGACCCACTAGGCTAGATAAGATTTTGTACAGTCTCAATATAGTAGTTAATAATGTAAACCACAATCCCTAAATACATAGTAGGCATACATAAGAAACTAATTGTTTAGTGCCTTTTGAGATAATCCCCCTACTCTTTGCAGTCAGTGTACTGCGCAGAGTTATTCTTCACATATTTATATTTTTTTTTGCACAAGACCAGCGGCTAAGTATTCTCCCAAAGGACGAGATAATTATAGTGAAGTGTCTTTACTCAGGGAGGCAAGCGAAGAGTGACATTGTTTCAAACCTGAGGGAACATGTTGTATGAAGCTTTTCCACTCACTTTTAAACTCAATCTTCTTTTGTTTTTGCAATAGTGGAGGGGACAAGTTGTTGATGGCTATCATCTGCAATCTATTGATTTATATCAGTGTGTCTCTAATTGTTTTTCTAAGACTAAATTATCCGACAACAGTACACTAGTCATTTAATTTATGTATGCAAGATATAAATTGTCAATGACTGGTTCTCCATGATTGTGCACTTGCATATATTTCATATTTCATTAATTCATGCAGTAAAGAGATAAATTATACAGTGAATCATGGCATCTTTAAAACATTTCAAGAAGGTGGCCTTTATATAACAGTGTTGTAGTATGAAGTAAACATTAAGGAATTGTTTGTACAGTAGATGAATAAATAAATGAAAATGGATTTTTTTTTTAATATCAATTTTAAAAAAATGTTTTAAAAAACCAAATAAATTTAAATAAAACAATAAAGTTGCAAAATGCTGACCTGTACAGCAACTGTTCCAATCATAAAAATGGAAATATAGAAACTGTGAGAGAGAATATTATGTTAAAACACATTTTTATTCAAATTACTAATTGATATATAAAATATTGAAATTCAAATCATTATAATATTAGCACTGTTAATAAACTCTATGTAGATGCTATTGATCTTTCTTTAAACATTTTATAATATTGTTTGTCAGAAAAAAATGGCTCTGGTTTTATCAACTAGAATTTTTAAGAGAAGGAATGAGGGAAAAATAAGAACACAAAAACGTCCTTACGACTTCCACGGTATCCTGTTTTTATGATGAAATAAAGATATTGTGGTGT